GAAATTTTTTAATTATATTTGTTTCTTATAAATAATTGTTTAATTATAAATAATTTCATCTAAAAATATCGAATTATAATATGTATTTATGAAAGATTTATAACATTCATAAAATATTATTTATTTATACCAAAAAATTTCAAATTTCAAAAACAATTTAAAGATTGCGAAAATCGAGTTGAATTTAAATTTAGCAGAATACATATAAAACTCAATTTTTTCTAAAATTAAGTTTTAATAAAAAAATATTAATCTATATTTTTTAGATTTATGTTGCTTTTTTTATTATTAATATCATACTATTTCGAGTTTATATAGTTAAAATCTCGATTCTTGTATATTTATATTTTAAACAAATGTATCCTGCTATTGAATTTCAAATAGTTTCATAAATAAAAACGAAGATTATGAATAAAAAGATTTAATGATAGATATATGATTTATATATAATGATTATTGCATAATTTAGTTATAAATTATTTTCGTTTTTAATTAAATATTGAATTTCAAAAATTGCAATTGCATAAATATTGAATACTGAAACAAGGTATCATCCAATACTTACTTACTGCTTAAATATATATAATTATATCTATTTACATGTAATTATATCTAATTATATCTAATTTATATGTAATTATATCTATTACTTACTTTATATGAGTACTATTATATGAGTACTATTTATATGAGATTTTGAGAATCATCATATTTTCTATTGACAATCTTACATTCTTTCGTGTATGAAAATGACTCCAAACATATCGTGACTTTCAGCTTGATTTTTAGTTGTCAATAATAAAAAATAACTAAATAACTAAGAAATAAAAATTAAACAATTTTTTTATTTTTATTTTATTTTGTTTTATATATGAATTTCTTTTTGTAACCAACTTCATTCAAATATATTTTTGTATGAACTTTACTTGAGATTAATAAAATAATAATGAGGTAATAAAATAAAAATTTGATTCTTAATATTATAGAGAAGAAAACATTATACATACCTTAAATTTATATCATACCAAAATTGACAATTTTAAATAATATGAATTTAATACAAATTTGACCTCTTTTTATTAAAGATATTTATATATTTTTATTAATAAAACATTTAGGCATTGTCTTTATATATATATTGTTATCACACAATTATATTTTTTTATTATTATATTATATTATTATAATTGTATATTTTTATTACTTCAACGATAACATTGTCATTATATATAATTATTATACAATTATTTAATAAATTATAATAATATTATATTCATTTATATTATCAATGATTCTATTTTTAGTTAATATAAACTATATGATAATTTTACTACGATATAATTATATTTTTTAATACACTGCGAGAAGTACTGATATATATGATGCCGAAATTTTCATAATCTATAAATGTGGAAAATAAAACTACTACAATATAATATATTTATAAAACTTGGAGAAATAAAAAAGGAATATTTTTATTTAAGAAAATATAATTTTTCGTCAAAAATAAATCAAATAATGCAAAAATTTTTTATCACAGTTTATATTTGTTTGTGCAAAAACAATAATTAAAGAAACTTTAATTATATTAAATATGCATATAAACATGCATACATAATATATCAAAAATAATTGTATAATCTAGTAAAAAATAATTTTCTATGTAAAAATATGTCAAAGAAAAAAAAATTTTTTTAAATTTAAGGTTTTGTAAATCAACTTAAAAATTTTTCAAGTATAAATGAAATTAGCTAGTTTTTAATTAGGTACAAATAAATTATAGAAAGTTATTCTTCATGTAAAAATGTGAAACTAGAATATAATAAATATAATAAATACTATAATAAATAAATAAATTTACTAAGAAATGTAGAATAAAATTTTGTTCTTATTTCTAATTAAAAATCGAAATTATGTAAAATTATGTAATCAATGAATTTTCAAATTTAATTTTTTTGAAAACTAATTTTTAAATAAAAAGATTATGTTCTACATTTTCTATTTAATTTCATATATAATTCATATATAATTTCATATATTAATTTTATTTAATTTCATATATAAAATATCTTATTACAAATAATTAATTTGTACTTAATAAAAAATTAGCAATCTCACTTGTACTTTAAAAATTTTTAGTTTTGATTTATAATAAAATCAAAGTCACAAAAAATTTTATTTTTTTTTTATTTATCATTATATATAAAATCATTTTCTTATATATAAAATTACGTACCATGATTTTACATATATATAAAATCCTATATATAAAGTATGTTTTTAAAGTAAGATCCTTTTACAAATAAAAAAAAAGTTATAATATAAATAAATATCTTTTAAAAAAATATTTATTTATATTATTTATTCACATAATTTCTATATATTAAATAAATTTTTGTTATATATTGTGTTACTAATTTTGTTACTTCAAATCCATCTTATATTATGACGTCGTGATAATAATTTTTAAATGCAAAAATAAATAGTTACTTAATAAAAAAATCGTTATAGAATTCGTTAAAAATTTCTTAACGAATTTGTTTTAACATTTCAGCTAATATGAATTATATTTTTTAATTAGATCTATCAAAAATAAACTTTTTAATAAATATTTAAAAATTAAATATTTTTAATGCAATCTTTATTACATAATTCTTTATGTTTGTGTTTTTATCTTATATTATGTTCAATTATGTTGATAATTAAATATGTAAGTTGTATGAGAAACAACACTAAGCATATAAAAAATAAAGAAAAAAAAGAAAACATAGATAACACATCTACTTTCAAATTTTTAAAAAAAAATTTTAATTTTATTTTATATTTTTCTTTATACTTTTATTTCATATATTTATATGAAATATTTTTATTTATTTTATTATGATATATATTTTTATATTATTCAAAATTTTTTTGCTCTTGTCAGAGACTCTTGCATGCCACTATGTATATTCTATGATATTATTATTTAAAACCATTAAATGTAAAAAATAAATAACTTACACCTGTAAAACTTTCCAAGGAAAGACTTGAAAATTTTCCAAAAGTAAATGTGAAACCTTTTTGAGATCTTAGTATAACAGGTATTAAAAGTTGAGTTTCATTTGATCGTAAATCATAGCAAAGAAATTCATAAGCTGTATCGCCGATTAATTTGCTTTAATAATGAAATATTATTAAATATTATTATTAAATTTAAAATATTAATAAATAATTTTACTAGATGGAACATTTAAATAAGAGAACATATAGAATCAAATCATTTCATATTTATTAATAATAAAAAATATACAAAACATTGAAATCAGAAAAACGAATTCTGATTTAAATTTATTGAAAATCAAAGAAAACGAAGATGTTTATTGTCAATGAATGAATAGAATTCAAAAGATTCAAAATAACGTTAAGAAGAAAGGAAAAGAAATTATTTCTTTTTTTTTAGAAATTCATTTAAAATTCTGTTAATTATTAAATTAAAGCCAGGAGTTTATGATTTGCATATTATTATATATTGTTGTAATTTCTGTAATAATAAATTAATTTATAGGTGAGAATTGAAACAATAATTTTAGTTTCTTTTTATTATTATTAAAAACAGATTTCTATCTTTATTAGTTGAAAGATCTTGTTAAGATATTATTTTAAGATAATTATTTTAAGATATAAGCAAAAATTATTATTCTTTCTTTGCCTATTCTTCATTTTTCAATTTAATAATCAATGGTATTGATTTTATTGGTTGTTTTATTTTTCTAAACTTATTAATATATATTTAACTTATTAATATATTTTTCTAAACTTATTAATATATATATATTATATATTATTCATAAAGATCTTTATCATTAATCTTTATCATTAAATGGTATCAAATTTTTCAGATATTTTTTTATATAATTCTTTTTTTTTTTAAATACTTTAGTTTTCTAATAGCTATTTAATAGCATTTCATTCGGATTTTATTAGTACTATACTATATATTATAAATTTTATAGTATTAATGTTTCCTGGTAAATTTTTACAATTTTTATCTATTTTTATAATTTTTATAAAATAGTAATAGTTATTAATTTCTATTTTCAATATCTTCTTCTATCTGCATTAGATTATTAAAATTTTTTATAATATCATTTTAGATCTATATCCTTTATTTTTAATGAAATCATTAACTGAATTTAATCATTAATAAAATTTTTAATAAAACTTTTAGAAACTTTCAGTCAATTTTATATTGTGAAATATTGATGATTTCTTTATTCGGATCCAAAAGATATTAATTGAAGTTTCTATAGTATAGTTCGAATTGAGATGCATGATTTGACAATAATTTTGTCAAATCAATCAGTTTTTTATTATAAATAAATTCAACAAATCTGTTAAAAAATTTCTATCTTTATTAGAATAGTATGAATTATTTGTTTATTATGTAAATCTATAAATATAATTTGTTTATTATTTTAATTAAATATTCTATTAAATATTCTAATAAATAAATAATAAAATTATTACAGATTATTGTTTTCATTCCTTTTCTGTTTATATAAGTATAACAAATGATACATAAAAATAAACTATATTAAGAAAATATTAATACATTAATTTAAGAAAAATTTTATTTCAAATAATTTTCTCTCTCATATATTGACTTTATTTAAATATATGACTTTATTTAAATGCTCCATTTTATATGTTTGACATTTGTATATTAACAGAATCATTTTTAATCATATTTTGTATGTATTTTGATACATATCTAAATACATATTAAAATACATAATAAATATTTTATCTAGATACTAAAAAATAATATTATAAAATTTATTATAATATTAGAAAATATAAAAACGAAACATTTAATTTATGACAAGAAATAAATAAATAAATTATAACATAGATATTGTTGTCAAGATTTTCTTTTCAAAGAAGTCTAAAAAGAAATCATTATATTTTTACAGTACATTTGACATTTGACAAAAAATATAATTTGACAAAATGATATTTTATTTAAAAACCTTAATACGAAGATATTCACCAGCAAAACAATATATAAATCCTTCTAAACAAATTACCATATAAAATAAAACAGATTTGAGTAATAATAGAAAACCATTATCCTCGTGTATTGTCTGTAATATTCATTTTATACATTTTTAATATGAAAAAGTCAATATATCATTATATATAAATTGAAATATTACTTACAATTACAATAAGGAATCCTACACAGCAAGTAATTAAAGTATTTGATACAAGTTGACTAAGTGCTATATATGTAAACAGTTTTTCAATTCTTTCTGCAAAAATAATGATTTCTTGATGTCTGATAATGAAAAATTTTAAATGACTTGCACATATATGAGGAATATCTAATAAATTTTGACACAGAATATCAATTTGATATCCTATATGAAGAACCTAAAAATTTGAATTTTTATGATAAAGTAATTGAAATAAGAATTCTGTTTAATATAATACAAATACAAATTTAACATAAGATTTTACATTATAAAAAAATAAATATTCAAATAAATATTTGTTTATATCTTAGAGAATATTTTTAAATCATTATATTTATTAAATTTGACTTTTCGAGCAAAAGATTTTCTTTATGTGATAGATTTTAAGCGAAACGTATCTCATCCAATTTAAATATCTCTTCTTGATGAAATAGGAAAAAATATTGCAAGAAAACGATTCGATTCGATTGAAATAGCAAATATGATTACATAAAAAAAAAATTATTTTCAAAATTATTAATATTTTTATATTTTTTATCATATATTATGATTAAATTCAATCATTTTCATAACATTGAATACAAAATTTTCAAAAATGTTTAGAAATAAATGTAATAACAATTATGATAAAATGAGATAAATGAAAAATTTCAATAAATTCAATATATTTTCATAGATTCTAAAAGATTGTTTTAATAAATGATTTTTTAATCCTTTTTTTATGTTTCCAAATTATAATTACTTCTCAGGAAATTATTAAATTAATCTTAAAACACAAATAATACAATAATTTTGAGAATAATTTTTGTACATTATTAATTATTATTTTATTATTTATATAATTTTATTAATGTTTATTATATTGTTTATTTGTCTCTTTGAATCAAATAATATTTTCTTTGTATTTTTCCTATCTTATTAACAATGATGAATGAAATATTTAAAATACAAACAGAATCTCTGTGTAATTATTCAGGAGAAATATCACATTCATATCTACCACCATTAAAAGCAGAGCACTGAATGTTCCAAACGTAAGAACTGCTGATACATGAATAAGAAGTTGCGAAGTTACTACAAATTCATAATTTGGAAATTCATTGGTTTCAAAAGGCAAATCCATTTTGAAAAGAAGTTCTCGAGATATTGAACCATTAGTTTTTTGAATTGCTAAAGTACCGGTAATATAAAAGGCAGCAGACACTAAATATGAAGACATGACAATAGTTGTCATATAAAAAGAGATTTGTTCCGTTTTCGATATTAAGTTATTTATGTCTATAACAGCATATTTTTGGCAATTCTTTTCCATAGTTGATAAAATATCACAAAATATGCTATATATTAATATATTAAATAAAAATTATTGTAAAATTTGATTTTACAAGTATTTCGATGAAAAAATAAAACATATTGATAATGTAAACAAATACATAAATATGTAATATAAATTACAAATATGAAAATTAGTATAAATGATAAAAAAAACAATATAAAATGACTATATTATTCAAAATTACTTTCGATTTATTTTTCACTTTTTATTCATTTCATTGAACAATTATCATGTTATGTTCTATATAATATAGAATATTTCATTGTATGTAGAACATATAATAAAAATATATTCAAAACACAAAAATAAATCAAAAATAAAATAAATTATAATAAAATTTTTTCATTTGTTTTAAAACTTTTTTAAATACAATAGAATTAATACAATAGAACTTCAATTATATAAATTTCATTTATATAAACGAAATTCTATTAATCTCTAATTATAAAATTTATTGTATTTTATTTTTTTATTTACTTTTTTATTGTATAAACTAAACTCCTATATTCATATTGAAAAATAATGCATTAATTGCATCATTTCAAATGAATCAATGTTCAAAACATAAAAGATACAAAAAATATTGACAACATTTTCTATATTCTAACAAATATTTATAAATTTATATTTATTAAAAATAAAACATAACTTACCCATAATTCACCCAAGTAACAATTAATTTGATAAACTAGACTGAACGGCATAGTTATGCTTAAATTATCTATTATACTCATGAGATTATCAGATTTATAATGCATTACGATATATCTATACTGATAACTTTGAAATACAGCCATCAATGCCAGCCAACCTAACTTATGTAAATATGGAAATGGTGTTCCAGACCAAATACCAGCAAAATGAAGGCCGAATTTAACAGATGGGCTAAGCGTATTTAATACAAGCATTCTATGCAGATTTTGTATTCTTTCGCTTATATATTTTTAAACTATACTTTTCATTTATAAAATCACGTAATTTTCACAAATACGCATCATTATTACCAGAAAACAGATGTACTGAAGACTAAAAAACTTATGTATATGCACGTTTACGATAAACTAAAAGATACATAAAAATTATACGCAAGCATGCACAAATTATTCACGAGTTTCTAGCCATTTGTTTCACATTCCCAGAATCTACATAAATATTGCAAATAATATCACAAAATGATTGTAAGCTTGTTGCAAACAAAAGTTGAGGATAGTGAAAAGTATGTTGTTCAAAATATAATTTCAACTTTTGCTGCAACATAAAATGATTAGTTTTCTTAGAAAAGTACTGAAGGATACGATATGTAAGTACATATTAAATTAGATTTGTTATAAGTTGAAGAAAATGCAAAAGTTTTGATAGAAAGAAATATGTTTTAGGATTCATACAACTAATAATGAAATATCCTGTTATATTTATTTTGTAGAAAATATATTAAAAATAATCTTGGAGAAAATTGAAAAATAAAATTTAATAAAATTAAAGATTGTAAACATATGTATATAATATCTTTGTATATTTTTTAAAAAAATTATCTGCAATATAAATAATTATATAAATTCTATAAATTGTTATTTTATTATATATATATATATATATATTACATTATATTATATATATATATATTATATTATATATATTATATATATTCGTAAATTGTGAATAAATTAATTTAATGGATAAGTTGTAACACTATTAATCAAATAATGCTTACATAATATAATATACTTAGTTTACATTTATACATAAATCAGAAATTTTGTAATAACAATAAATTATTGATAAAAATTAATAATTTATTCATTATTTTACAAATGTATATTATTTCAATAACTTTAATTATAAATGATAATGTTAAATTATTAATATACATATCACCGCTAATATGATTATTTTATTAAACATATTACATTTGTTTTTATTTATTTTTGTGAATATTTTTAATTTATTTTACTTCATATAAAATATATTTAGTTATTGAATATTATATTTTGTATATTACATTGTATATTACATTATTTGATTTAAAAAAATCTTAATCAAAATTAAAATAACGCATCTTCCACGTAAGATTTTATTTTTGAAAACAAAAAATATATATAACAAATGTCATTTTTGATATATACTTATTGAAATATTAAAATAAAATTTTACTATTATATGGATATATGAAACTTGTTTCAAAACACGAAATTATAACATATATATAAGATTCTTTTCAAATAAGCATATTATATAAATAATTTTTATTAATATATATTTACTTATTAATTTTATTAATAAATAAAATTTGCATAAATTAAATTTAAATATGTTATTAGTAACTAATTACAACAACAATTAGATAACAACAATTTATATAGTAATCTCTTGTATTCGTGTGATATCATATATGAGTTCAAAATATATGGCATTTCTTTAATGTTTAAGTTAATTATGGCAATGCCCGCATATAATATTCTTATTACAATATTTTTATAATTGCAATTTTTTAAAAATTTTTTACACATTATCTAATAAATTAATCCTAATTTTTAAAAAAAATTTAATTGATTAAAAATTAATTGATTGATTCAATTTTCAGAAAATTATTTATTTTTAGAATGATCAAAATTCTTCTTGTCGTATTATAATATACTAGATTAATAAATAACAAATCCTAATTTTAATAAAATGTAATTTTTTAATTTTAAATTCAATTCTTTAAAAAAATTTTCTGACTTTATGAATTTTATGATTTTGATTTCCTAAATATGAATTCATTCCATATATTATGTTAGATAATCTATTTTTAATCGAATTCTTATTTGTAATTTCTCTTAATGATATTCAATAATTAATTCGAAATAAGCTTTTGTTTTTGTTGTTTTAATTTGTTTTAATTGTTTTAATTTTTTTGCATTACTATTTAAGATTTTATTATTTAAAGACTTTTTATACTATATTTACAATATTTCTTAAGTTAATATAGTTAATTTTATTATCAAGATTTGAGTTTCAATAATTTTAATATTAATTTTAAGTATATTAAAAAAGCTAATCTTCATTCATAGAATCAGATCTAGCATTCTTTTATTTATTGATATAGCTCATAATAATTTATTATAACTTAATAATAATTTCAATTTTAAAATCATTCAAAATTGACTTATAAATAAATCATGACAAAATATAATTTATAATAATATAATATAATAAATTTGATTTTTGGAAATAATTTTAGCTCAAACTTCTTATCTATATTCTTATCTGTTAAAATTAAATCTGAAAGTTGAAAATCTTTTCCAAAATCCAATTCCAAAAAGATATTTTCTGATTTTATTTTTGTATCATAAAGTTTATCAGTTTTCTATGAACATATGTACATAAGATTATTAAACCTGCATAATTTAAATTCAACAATAATTAAATGTAATTTAATAATAAGTGAACGTAATTTAATAAGTGAATGATATACAAATTGCTGAGATATTTTCTTTTCCATTATTATTTTTATATATAATTTTTTTATGAAATCCTGATTGATATAATTTTATAATAACATACATATAGTATAGTACACATTTATGCTTCTATAATGATAATATAAATATGATACAAATGTAATGAAAATTGAATTTCGATTATTATGTTTTTTGTTTATTCAATTCTAATATACATCATAAATCAGAATATAAATAAAATACAAAATAGAAGAAAAAGATTTATTAATTAATTTTTAATATTTTTATTAAATGATGGATTTGGATTTCAATAAATAAATTTAAACAATGATTGCTGAAATGTATCATCTAAACTTATTGTGTGCATCAAAGTATTGAGAAAAGTATTGAACGAAAAATATTTATCAGTTGATTCATTGCTGTCTATTCAACTTTCTTTTTTTGCACTTCATCGAATAAAATATAATAACGATTTTATCTATGCTTTGTATCATCTTATAATATTGAATTACAATAAATTTGTCGCAGTTTGTATAAGGTAAGCTTTTGTTAAACAAAATATATTTTATATTCTACAAAAAAAATTAATTATCCTTATATACATACCTTTATGTATTATATTACTTCAAAATGTCAGAATAATTAATTGTAATTGTAATTTAAAATAGTATGAGTTTCATATATATCATATATATCGTTTTAAAATTTTGAACATTATTATAATTGAAAGAAAAATCTTTAAAAGCAACAAAGATATAAATAGATATTAATATTTCAAAATATAATATATAAATATGATATATATTTTTTAAAAAAATTAATCATACTGAATAAATAAAATGCAATATTTCAAGTTTTTATTGCTTTACGTATATATATAATTAATAATATATTCAAATAATATATTTTCAATCTGTAAACATATTTTAATACATATTCATACATATTCCTATTTCTTAAGACGAAGTATAATGATCTTCGTAATTAATACATTGCATATAATATTGATATGTATGATGCTGAAGCCTTTAAGACCTAAAAATAATACATCAAAAGTAAAATAAAATAAAATATCAGATATAAATGTTTTATTTAGAAATGTTTTTAAAGTTATATAATATATCAATACAAAGTTAATATCAATATAGAGTTAAATTTTTGAAAAAATTTTTAAATTTTTTTGTTAAAAAACATGTTTAAAATCTAATAAAATTAATTAATAGATAAAAAACAATAAAAAAAATATATTTCATTTTCTGTTAAAAAAATATAAAATAATCTTTATTCTTTAAAATTATTTTAAAAATATTTATTACTTTATTACTTTTTCTAGTTTATTATTCCATACAATATAAGATTAATTATAGCCATCAATAGTTTTATTTAAGCAAAAATTATATTTATAATTATGAAAAGGAATTATTTTTTCAAATGTAAAAGAAGGAAAAGTGAAATTTACAATTTCTGAAAAATATCTTTAAATTTCACCTAACAAAAAATGAAGATATGATATGACAATTATGATTACATATCAAAGACATATATATTTTATATCAATTTTATATAATTACATATAGATTTTATATCAAAAAGATATAATTATTTTAAGAGTAAAAAAATATTAGATATATTTTTTTTTATCATGAAATTTTACTAGAAATAGCTTTAATAATAGAAAATGCTGAAATATGCCCAATGAATATACTTGTTTGCAACAAATACAAAATTCAAACTGTTAATGAATCATGATAAAAAAACTAATAAAGAGCAAACATCAAGCATTAGCTATTTAGAAGATTCATTTTCTAAAATTCTATTATCTCAATCATTAAAAGAAAACTTAAAAAATATTTAGCTAACAATTAACTTTTTTAATTATTATTCTTATAAGTTCAAGTGTTAAATAAAATTGAGAAAGTTCTATTTCAATAGTTTGTTTCTCCTAACTAATAATAATATATGTTATCAGTATGATACATATGATAACTGCACCTCATCATCATTGTAATTGCCATTTGATAGAACACTGCTACAACAGTTCAAATCTATATGAGTACATCATTGCTTAAGCGATTTATAATAGTCTATATGAATTGAATCTGCATGAATTTATTATAGTATAATTTATATATAATAAGCTCATTATAATACTGAAAAAGAAAAATATTTTACATTAGAAAGTTATACATGTAAGCTGTTTATTAGAAACACAAAGTTCTCAAGCAATAAGAGAAAATGTTTAAAAAAAAAACAAAAATGAAAAAATGATTTATTGGTTCATTGGAAATATCTTTGATCTAAATCTTGATCTGATATGAAAAGACATATTGATAGTATTGGAAATTGAAAGAAATTCATCTAATTATTCTCGTCCACGAAAAATAGAATGAGTCTTTTATTCTTGGGTGAAACTCTTTTCTATTTATGGAGAAAGTCGGTTTTTTTTTAAAAGGTCTTTGATCGATTTTGAGAAAGTATTCTCGCAATAATATTTGTTCTTGTAACTCGTAGTAATCTAATAACAGACTTAAATAAGAATATTGTTTCATAAAAGAAAAATAAATATCAGTTTTTAATATATTTTAAGAAATTTTATTTTTTTTGATAAAGTTTCATTTCTTTGATAAACAATTTTCTTTGATTGGAGATTTATTTTAGAAAGAAAATATATTGCTAAAATTTAAGATTTATCAGAAAAAATTAAGAAAGAAATTCATAGGATCAAAAGTTAAAAGAGAGAATGAAAAAGTAAAATTAATGAATTTTAAAAGATGAAATTCAAATCTATCGTTATGTGATTTTTCTCTAAAGTTTAAAACAAATGTCACAATGTTAATTGTATAGAAAATATATGTAAATATAAAATTGTACAATATCTCTTTTAAGACAAAAGAATCATTTTAATATAGTAACGAAACAGTTATAAAATTGAAATTGAAAAATGCATATTAAAAAAATATTCTGTTATAAAATATATCAGAGATTTCAAAAACAAAATTGAATTTAAAATCAAGTCACTTCAAAAGAAAAAATTAATTTTATGAGCATTGACAATTATAGCGAAAGATTAAAATCAACATGCTTAAAAATTAAGAAAAATCAATCATTACTGACATCTATATTCATTTAAAATTATAATAAATTTTATACTTCACATAAAACCAATCAATCAATTATTCTTAAATATTTTAATTGTTTAATTTATTTAATTTTAAATTGTATTAAATAAAGATGATGTTATTAATAAAGCATTAATAACAAATTATTAATATAACAAATTATTAATTAAAAACACGAAATAATATGCTAATTAATTAATATCTTTCAAATGACATTAGTCTTAAAGCTAATTTTTTATAAAAAGTTTTCATTAGAACAAAAAATAGCATTATTATAATATATTATATAGTATATAATATATATAATTTTTGTTATTATAATATGTATAATATATTATAATATATATTATATATATTATATAATATATAATATATATTATACATTATATTTGGTTATTTATTTATTTAACAATATATATGGTGTTTAAATAAAATGTTATATATATATATATTTTTTTTACGTTTGATCGAAAAATTTCTGAATTTTTATTATTAAAATAAATTCATTATTAAAATGAAACAAAGTATTAATGCAATAATGTCAACTAAATAAAATATGTAATTCTAATTATTAGAAAAAGATAAGAAAAAATAGAAAAGTGTGAAAATAAAAGTATAAAAAAATTATTAAAAATATATAGAATGAAAGAATGTATCTATAAATCTATTAGTACAAATATGAAATATTCTTTTATATGTCTCATGGCTTAAATTTTTAAATTTTTTAAATTTTTTATTTGAAAGATTCTTGTTTTTTAGTTAATCTATTCTAAATTTTGCAGTTTATTTATCCTAAATTTAATTAACAAAATTTGTAAGAATATTGATTTTAATCTATAGTAAATCCAATATAATCAATATAAATCCAATATAAATCCAATATAAATCTCAATATAAATAGAATTTAACATTGTTCAGACATTGGACAGATGGCATAGGGTGATGTTGCAAGGACAATGCCGTTTTTGAGAAAAAAATTTGTCTCTTCGCTTTGTATATATATAGAAACATTTCGGCGTGGCTAGAGTGTCAATGTGATTCTGGAGCTTGAAATAGCATTTTCCAGATTGGATGTCAGTTTCAACGGCAATCAGCATTATTCTACTTGAGAAGAGTTATTGCAAACACTTGCGGAACAGTTTCCTGAGAAAACAACAGACTTTGTGGGTGGCATAGTCCTCAATCTTATTTAAGAATTTTCCTTAGATTGGGAGCTGAATCAGGAGACTAATCCAATGTTATTGGTCGCTTGTGTCCACTGAAGACGCGCGATTTCGCGAGATGAATATAGAGGGTTTTAGAAGGTACCATAGAAATCCACCAGTATTTTAGGAGAATTTTTTGAACGTCAGAATATTCAGAATATTCAGAATCTTTGAATCTTTCGAATCTTTCTTTTAGAATCCTCCTTAAGAATCTTTTGAATTTAGAACTCTACCGAACTCTATTCTAACTTCAAATCTTAGTGATAATATAAACTGTCGTTAGCATATGAACTTTGCTTTTGATTTTTTTACAATCGAATTTGTTAATAGCGAACTTTGTAATAATTATTTTTATTATTATATACCATAGCTTCAGAAACGATTAGAGCTAACAAACATATTATGTATCTTTAAAAACATTTTTAATATATTAAAATAAATAAAATTGGACTTACATTTGCGAAGCCTTGCATAGATAAATCCATAAATTTTCCAGCAGTAATTGTTAATCGTTTTTGTGATCTTACCATAAGAAGAATCATTATACCTCTGTTCTTAGGATTTAATAAATACCAAGGTGATTCATAAGCTGAAGTACTAACTGACAGACTCTAAAATAAAATAAGTGTACATATATTTATTTGTATATTAATTTAAAAAAAATATATTTTCATAAATATATATATATAAATATAAATATATGTAATAAATATATCTTAATTATATACTAACTTTATTACTAAGATATTCTCCAGCAATGGAAAAAATAAAAGCTTCCAAGGTAATAGCAATGTAAAAGAATGATATTCTTATAAGTAATTTTAAATTTGAATTAAGCGCCTACAATAATAGAAATTTTTATAAGCTATAAAGTATATATATATATATATATATATATATATATATATATATATATATATATGTGATGAAATATTTTTAAAAGAAACTGAAAACAGATGATCCCATGCTATTTCACTTTCGACTAATTTATTATAACGATTGAATAGAAAAGAATTTTTGAATGATACATTTCTGGACAAAATAATAGCACATTATAATTTTTATTATTCTTCTAATAAAATTTATTTAAATTTTAGATATATAAAATCCATATAAAATCTTTTCATTATATCATTTTAATTTTTCATAAAAAAATTTTGGAAAATAAGAATTTGTAAAAATAAATTATATTAATTGTATTTTATACAGTTCACTATTTTCTATATTAATATATAATATAAAAAAGAATACTTTATACGATGTAAAATTTGAATAAATTACATTTTACAATTTCGAAATACTAAAAATCATAGAGTGTTTCTATTATTTTATCTGGAAATAATAAACAAACTTTAGTGCTTGATTTCTCTTGAACAGTCTGAATAGTGTTGTATTCGCATATGCGCACATTGATATATTATTTGGAATAGAAAATTATATGGTAGATGAATTTTGATTCGATTAAATTGAATACTATATGTTTAAAAGAATACAGATATTAGCCCATTATATATAAAGACAAGTTTTTAGTAATTTTTCAGTAAATATTATTTCGTATGCATAAAAAATGAAATATTTATTATTATATTAATAGTAAATATTTATTATTATAGGAACACGTAATATTTAAAAATTCAAATAAATTTTAGCAATCTTAAGTTTGTCTGTTGCCTATTTTAATTTCCTCTTAATCATGTCATTCTGCATTTATATCTCCATTTATATCTAAAATTGTGCTTTCTTTAACTTTTCTAAACACAATTTTTTAGTTTTTCTTTTATAATATTTTATTTTATTTTTTTTCAATTATTATTCTTTAGTTATAGATTTGCCAAAAATTTTTTCATAAATTTAATGAATAATGAATAAACATCAGATATTTTTTATTTACAGAATTTTCAATTGAATAATTAAATTAGTATTTATTTAATTATTAAAATTAATATTTAATTAAGATTTTCTACATTTTATATACTAGAATTAAATGATATATAAGAAACATAGTATTTACTTTTATATATACTTACAAGCATTTACTTATTTTTATGCATATGATTCATTGTTCTTAAATCATAAAATAAATAAAGAGATATACCTTATAAGAGAATTGTGAGTATTTATTTCAATAGTACCATTAAAAAATGAACAGATTAGAAATGAATCAAATTTTCAATATATAAGAATTATAATCAAAATATATTATAATCAAAATTAATATAAAGTATAAAAAATTTTATATACTTACAACTACTATTAAAAATCCTATACAACATATAATGACAGTATTACATATTAATTGCAATAAAGCAATATATGAGAATAAACTTTCAATATATTCGGAACCAACAATAATCCGATAATGTCTATCAATTAAAGATTTAATGATAATTCTGGATGATTCGGGTTTTTCATCCTTGATAGAAATATTTTTCAAAGTCTTATGCAATATTTCTATTTGCCCGCCAGTATGAAATATCTAAATAATAATTACTATAATTAGATAGGATGTTTATATAATTATTTATACAAAATTTAAATGTATAAAAAATTACAGAATGCATATGATATGCAAAAATATATAAAATATCTGAAATATGATATATATGATACATACGATTTTTTAGCAATTTTAAATAATAGGATATAATTTTATAATAATATAATAATAGGAGTATAATTATATTATTAAGGAGTATAATATTTTAAAAAAAAAACAATTTTTTAATCAATCATTCTTATAAAATTTACTGAATATTTCAATACTAAAGAATGATATAATAATAAAGAAAATTTAAATAATTTTCGAATTTTTAAACTTTTTCTTATGTTTTTACGATTCAGAACTTAAAATTCAAATAAGAAATAAATAATCTATATAATGTTAATTCAAGAATGTCATGAATTCATAAAACATGAATTCATTTTTATATTACCCATAATAATTCAATAATTAAATTTACTAACTTATTTCAATAGTTTATATAGAAAAAAAAATATAAAAACTTAATTTTTACAAGCCAAAAAAATGATTGTTATTATTCATCTAGCTAATCATGTATCTGTTTGTTGAAAAGTTTAATTGAAATTTATTAAAATTAATTTTTTTTTAAAATAGATACTCTTTCAAAAGTTTTGAAAGTTTCGGAATCTTTGTAAACTTTTCCGTGTTTTTAAATTTAAAAATCAAATTTCGATCTATCATTCTTAATATTCATGCAAAGAAAAATTTTATATTTGTAAAATTTTTATAAAATAAGTAAAAATCAATATAATTTCTTAAACATTATTTTATATCTAAAAATATACATATATCGTATATTTACATAATACTTACATAATATTTACATAATATTTAGATTATTAATCAAATAAAAATAAATATTAAAAATAAATATTTTTAATTATTATATCAAAATAAACTTACCAATGTTATTATTAAGGCGTCTAACACAGCAATACCAGATGCTATAAAAAATAGTTGAATAAATTGTACGATAAATACATACTCATATATTGGACTTTCATCATATGTAAAAGGAAGATCCATTTTTATTAATAATTCTGATGATAAATTAGATCGATTTCCTTGATCATGATGATTTAATTCCAGAAATACACCGACATACATAAAAACAGCAGTAGCGTATATACCCATAATTAAATTTGAACAATAATATGCGAGTTCGGTTTTTTTTATCATATCATCTACAGTAAAATCGGCAGCGAAAGCATTAGTCCAATCATGATACATGCCTATTAATATATTTTTAAATATTCTGTAATAAATATAAAAAATTGAAAAAAAAATTTTTTAAATAATCTTTCAATTAATCTTTTTTATTTTTAGAGATCTTTCATTTTTCATATTTTAATTTATCATTTTTATAATAAATAAATAATTTTTACTTTATTTCATGATCTAGAAAATTAAAAGCATTAATTCAAATAAAGTTAAATTCAAATCGATCAAAATTACAAACTTATAAATTATAATAGTTATAATATTACTTAATAATTTTAATTAATTTTATATATAATTTCCTTAACTAATTTTTCCTTTGTCTTTATTTTTAAATATCTTTAACAATCATAAAATTTGAAAATCTAAATATAAGAGATCATGATTCTTAAATTGTAATTCACGGATTTTTATATTTTTGAGAATTAATAAAAATTCACAAAAATTTTTTGAACTTTTTTAAATTAAAAATTTAACATTTTATGTTAATTTATTATACATTATACATGTAAAAATTTAACATTTAATTTTATGAAGAATATAATAAAAATTCCATAAATTTAATTAACTTTTTATTAAAGTCATTAACATTTATCAAAAAAAGATAATAGTTAGAGATTTTGCAAAATATATATCATATAAAATTATAAATATCAGTAATATTCTTAATCTAACAAAATTTAAGAACCACTATAATAAATATTATATCAGATATTTCTATATACATGTAATATCGACAACAAAATACAATACCAAAAAAAATTATTTATATATAAAATAAAAAATAATTTTAGGCTAAAATAATATTTAATTTCTAACAATAATAATATTATACAATATTAGTTATGAAATATTCTATTTTTATAATATATTATTTATCGAATATTATTTTATATATTTATATTTATATATATTATTATATATAAATTATATTATATATATAATTAATCATCATATTAAAATTTAAAGGATATAACTTACTCGCGTTTAGTCCAAAAATTAATTAATTTAAAACACAATAGACTATACGGCAAAGTAGTGCTTATGCTATCAATTAAATCTGCCAAATTATCAAAATCAATGTGATTTAATATATATCGATATTGAAATATTTGTGCACACATCATAATAATAACCCATATAAATCGAACAATAATTTCATAGGATGATTTTGGCCAAATTCCAGTCAATCTCAGACCAAATACTATTGGATGGCTGATACTTCTGATAGGTATCATTTCAAACGAAATATATTGGTTTCATGAATTATATGTTTGATATTCAATTTTATTTCTGCACAAAACGATCGAAAATATTTTATCCTAAACTGTTCATGCATAGGCAACTGAACACAATGTACTGAAAATATTTACAGTGAGAAAAAACTTCTTGCACATTGGCCATATTTCTATGAAATATTCATATCGTACGAAGAATACAAAAGTTATAAGATGGAAGCTATAAATATATAATCAAAGAAAAAGAACAAGTTTATGCAATTTTCCCAAACATCTAATATTTCCTCCTAGAATTAAATAAATTTGCATCATGAAAGTTCATTTTAATTTTGTTTAATTCATAAATAAATATTTTGATATATTCCATGAATCTATTACAAAAAGAAAATAAATTTATTATTAAAACTTGGTAAGTTTCTATAGATATTTTATAGATATTTTTATATTTTATAGATTCATTATTAATTTTAAAACATTTTTATATTACAAAATATTTAAAGATATTTTAACATACTAAAATTAAAACATATATAATTATAGTATAATCATGATTAATATATTAAAATTATTTATTTATATATTATTATATTTTGTATTTATAATTATTTCTTTATAAAAGATATACAAATATATATATATATACATAGAAGAAATCAGTAACATAGTAAGTAATACTTTCAATCTTTTTATATTTGCATACGAATCAATATATTTTTCAAGTATTATTTTTTATATCAAATTAAAATTTTATATATCACCAAAGTAAAATTAATTTATTTTATAAAATATAATAACAAGCAAAAGTATAAATATTTAGTGTTTGTAAGATTAAGATAAATAATAATTGAAATATAATTTCAATTATATATATATATATATAAATATAATAATTTCAATTATTTTATGAAAATTAAATTATTATAATTACTAGCTAATAAATAGATATGATACTTTATTTTTATTTATATTAATAATGTATAGATTATTTTAAAAAATGAGAATCTCATTTAATATTTACAACTTTAATATTTTAATATTTGTATTTACATAAGGTAATATTGTAAATTAATATTTTTTCCATTTTCCTATTTCCATTGTTCTTTTCTGAAGCTCATAATCTATTTTTTTTTTTTTTTAATTATTTAGATGTATCATAGTTAATATCAGGGTTTTATATTGACTATTTTATTATTATTATTATCAAAAAATTTTGATTAATTTTTCATTATTTTCATTGTGTATTTTATATATCCGCTGAAAAATCACTTTATCTTCATTATATTGAATTAACAACTATTGATAATTAATTGAAAAATATCTAAATAATATTTTTTTCTCATGATCTTTTTAATTTTTACTAAAAAGACCAATATTTTTTATATGAAAAACAGATAGATCATAACAAAAATCATAACATAAATGTATATATCTTCGAATTTCATGGTTTGTTTTACTTTTAATATTTTTCATTAATAAAGTTCAATAGTAAGACTTTCTATCTGATTAAAATTTATTTTTGTCTTATTAAATCATATCTGCCTTATATTTCTAGCAAGTTTGACATCAAAGTACAATAATGTAGAGACTGTATAGGACAACATAAAAAACAAATGATTATATATGAAAGAAAAACTAGAAAAAAACTTTAGAAAAAGATCGGATTAAACTTCGAAAATTCTGAAACAACAGTATTGGCAACAATACTGAAAATTAAAAGAAAAAGATAAAAATGACTATGATTTATCTAAGAAAATGACAATAAAAATTCCATCACAAAGAAAGATATACAACATTTTACATCAAGAGAAAAGATATTACATGTATGAGAAAAGATATCATATGTAAAGATATTTAATATTCAAGAAAAAAGAATCAAAGCGAGTTATGTAATTATGCATAGATTGTTTCGGATAATATAAATTACATGGTAAGACAAGATCTTAATAAATAGACAGAGAGAGAATAATTCCAATTATAAAATTATTCAGCCTTTATAATTAAATATCAATATGATAAATTATATATTATTGAGATAATATATATATAATTATATATTATATATTAATGAGATATGATTTGTAAACAATAAAGCGATGAGATTTGATTTATTAATGAGATTGGCTTATCAATTATTGTTTAAGAAAAGATGGCAGCATTATTTTACTAAAAGATAATGCAGACTGTGATGTTATTGATGAAGAAACAAGTATTCCAAAAGTTTATCTAATGATGAACTAATATAATGATTGCATTGAAAATGTAAGGTATGTGAAAAAATTTTTTCTCAATATTGTATTAGATTGGAAAGAAAGTTCTTGCGATTTTTTACTATTAAATTCAAATGTACATATCTCAACTCAAAAAACTTTATTAATCAAAATAAAGATCATTGCAATCAATGCACTTTTAGCAATGAGAAACAAGTTTTATTATTCCGATTAAATAAAATTCTGGAGTCCTGAAGGCGACAAACTTCTTGAATGCCATTTCAGCATCTCTTCAGAGATTTAAAACATTTCTCATGCAAAAAGTTGTCGAAGTGCTTGAAAAAAGTGGTAATTGGTAGGCAAAAAATATGGCGAATATGATAGATAAGATAGAGTTTCATAAATCAATTTGTTCAACTTTTGAAGGATCGGTTGGGCAACACATAGGCAAAAAAAGATAGGACCATTTCTGTTGACCAGTGCTAGATACAAACATTGAAATTTTTCATGTATTTCGTTGATTTGGTGGCAGTACTTTTTAGCTGTAATGATTTCACGAGGATTCAGAAAGTTGTGATGAATCAAATCGGTCACAGATTAAACTGTCGCCATGATTTTCTTTTTTGGTGAAACTTTGGCTTTGGGAAATGTTGTGGAGTTTTGTCGTGGTCTAGCCAGTGAACCGATCATCACCAATTGTCATAAAGAATCCATTTTTCATTACACATTACAATTTTTCATTTTTATTGCGCAAGAGAAAGGCAGACGACATTTCAAAACGATAACTTTTTTGATGTTCGTTTAATTCGTGCGGAATCCATTTATCAAATTTTTTTGTTTTTCCAATTTTTTGTAGATAGTTACAGATTATTGTACGCGTTACGCCCAATTCAGAAGCAAACTCCTGAACGATTGTTGAACAAGGATTGGCTTCAACTAGGATCTTTAAATTATTGTTGTCAACATCTAATGGCCGACCATTGCGCTTATCGTCTTCAAGGTTCTCGTCATCTCCTCGAAATTTTTTAAACCACCATTGTGTTGTATGTTCGTTAGTATGTTCGTTAATGGTTTTAAGACCAAATGTTCGTTGATATCGCGAGCCGTTTTGGCAGCTTTCTGACCTAGTTTGAAAATGGAATAGGAAAATTGTTCGAATCTGTTTCTTTCATTATATTTTCAACACTCCGAGAAATCAGAAAAATTAATTTGAAAATAAAATTAATCATAAAGCGAAAAATGCATTTTAAAATTATATACAAAGTCAATGCAATTTAACACTAACTTAATCGAAAATAGAGCATTTAAAATCAAAATAACAAAAATCGTAAGAACTTTCTTTCCAATCTAATATATCATGTATATTAAAAGTATTTCAAATATGTGTTTACTTTATTTTACTATATTTTTTTTTTTTTTATTATGCAATGGAAAAGAAAGCAAATATTAATCTTAAATTTGAGATTATAGTATGAGATTATTCCCACATTTGAATTCACGTATTCTGAAACAACTAACAAATGAGTTTGTAAATAATATTAATATAAGAATTAATCATTTTTTTTGTGATTCATATAAGTTATGAAGTCATATGATTCATAAATCTTTTTTCTTTTTTTCGAAAAAAAATAAGAACAATCCAGCATTATCTGATGAATTTAATATAGCAATATAAATAGATTAATATCAGAAACGATTTTGTGAAAAGTTCGATTTTTTTTAAGATTCAAAAATGACAGATTATTATTATGTATATTTTTATGAAACATAAATTCGATGTGCTTAATTAATTTAAAGATTTCAAACGTAAAATTTTAAACAAAAAAGCCTATATAAATATTAAGATCATAGAATATGCCTTAAATATTGTAATGAAAAAAATAAAAAAATATTTAATATCTTTATAAAATTTAATACTGTTATTTTATATATACTGTAGCAAAATGAGAAATAACAAGATAACTGCACAATAGTTAAGTATTTAAAAATCATAATATAAACTAATAATGTATTTACATTTCTATGAAAGCTATAAATATTGTCAGCTAATTATGATAAAAATAATACATCAAAGTTTAGACTAGAAAAAAAATTTACACTTTTACACGGAGAAAATGATAAGATTTAATTATATAATTTTCAATGTTTTTCAAGATAATTATATAATATATATAATATATATAATATAAATTTTATATACATATGTCAATGACTATCATATAAAAAGATTATTATATACTAGTTTCCATAAAAATCAAATTGAAAGACACAATCATGCTTGTTTATACTTACATAATGTTTATATTTAATGTTTATATTCCCGAATAAATATTTTAGTTTATCTCTCGAGTTTTGTTATTGCATGTATATATCATTAACACAAATATATTATGTCACTATTGTTGCAAACATACCATTGCAAAACATACCATTTCAACGAATAATATTCGTCTGCAAACAGTGTTCTCTTGGGCGGCAATCAAAGGATCTAAAAATTTGTAAATAAAAAAAATATTTGATCAAACTATAATAATTTCAATGAATTTAATATTGACTAAAACATTCACAATCGCAAATTTCAATGCGGATATGGTACTTTTATTGCTTATGAACAGCTCACGAATAACTCTAAATGTAGCCAGATGCAATATTACAAAATTCAGAAAAATGTAAAAGATAATATTATTGACAATCAGATAAGAATTCAAGAATAAACGTAATTTTTTATATCAATTATAGCAATTTCTTGTATCAAAAAAATTAAAAAAATATTTTGGAAGTGATTGTAACATTTCTTTCATATAACATTTCTTG